TTAAAAGTACTTTAAACTGTATAAATAATGTAAAATTATTGCGATTTGCAAAATTCTGGATCCCATTGATTGATCATTATCTAACAATTACATATTTATATTAATAACAATTACATTGTTATTAATATGTGATTATTAGATGATGATCAATCAATGGGATCCAAAATTTTGCAAATCGCAATAAATAGCCAATTATTCTTGCTCGGATTAATTCAATTTTATTTAATCGAAGAAGATATACTATGGAAGTAGTGCTATGCTGCAGCTCTACTAGATTTACAGATGCCAATACTTTATCTTAAGAAAAAATAGCTATTAGCAAGTATTGTATGGGGATCACGTGATGAAGAAGAAAGAGTATCGAGTATGTGATAGGGGTGGCCCATGCTAAGGTGTAGCATATCATAAAGATAGATGGCTCATGCAAAGGTGTAGCGCATCAAATAGGGGGATGGGCCACGCCAAGGTGTAGCGCATCAAATAGAGGGATGGCCCACGCCAAGGTGTAGCGCATCAAATAGAAGGATGGCCCACGCCAAGGTGTAGCGTATCAATACAATAATTCTACTAACAACCTAACAATTTAATACAGTGCGGGCATCCTTAAATCAGCAAGTTCTATTATAAGCGGCCAAATTTTGCCCAAGATATAAGCCGGACCAAAATTAAGTCGGAGCCAATTAAATTGCAGCAAATCGATACTAAAAAATTAAAAAAAAAAAGTATATCCAACATTCAGATATAATACATCTATAGATAGTTAAAATTACATTGAATATTATATAGACAATAAAATAATTAAAATTAAAAATCACAATAAGTTTCGTATTTGTATCTGGTTAATATCGTGACCATAATAGTGCACAACTAATGATTATATTTACATGAAATTTATGTTCGAATACATATGCAAATTATAATGTAATTGAAATCCTAAGCATCATTTTCGATATGATTAATGAATAATCTTAATGATGCTTATTTATATAATCAATAAATCAAATAAATATTATAATCGATACTTTCAAATATTACTGTTGATTTTTTAGTAACACAAAAGATACAATTTGATTTCAATATACAATATATATACTAAAGTTATCTATCTCCCTTTAACCAATACGCTGCTAGTAAAATTTCAAAATAAAATTATTGAAATCAAAATTTGACAATAAATGAATATTTTATTTTTATTTTATTTAACTCCAATTCTCAACATTCCATCATATTTTTAATTTTTGTAACAAATAAATGCCTTAAATTTTTTTTAACCCGATTTAAATTAAAAGCTTAATTTATTAAAGAGTAAAAAATTATAAATACAAAATTATTAATAACACTAAAACTTTTGCTCACCTGTTTTGCTTATCTGTTATTCATTCACTACATCAATTTCATTTAAAATTATATCCAGAACATGGCGATGCGAATGATATTTTTTTACAGCATATTCTGCAACTTTTCCAGTCAAACCTTTGCGATATACATCTATAAATCTAAAAGCTTTCTGAGCATATCGTCTTATCTCAGTAAGAGATACTGATTCAAGAGCTTGTAGTACGGTTTTCTTCAAACCTTTCCAAGTATAGTTACAATTACCTCGTGCATATCGCTTCACTGACCCCAAAAGTTTTCTATATAATTTAACTCACAATAGAACTTTGAATAAAAAATAACTTTATGACCTGCTAAAATAATCACTTTTTCAAGTTTTCTACATTGTGCTCTAAAATCAGGTTGATTCGCTATTATAGTTCTAGCACAACAGTCAATTCTTCCTTCTTCACAACCTCTCTTACATACCAACCTCATTCCATCACGCCACAATCCTCGTTTACTCAAAACTTGCTTCAAGCCTTTTGGCTTACTACACAAATCAGGATCATCATAATCCTCAGGAAAACACATCTCTTGCAGAATGTTGTCTCCATACATAGTACTTCTAAAAATTTAAACTTAAATATTAATATATAAAGAATTTAAAAATTTTAAAATAATCTACAAACCTCATTTTTGGCTATTTGCTACCGGGAGATAAATTCATATTTTTTGTCACAAGGGTATCTTTGGAATATGCACAATGTCCAGTTGTATTATCAAATGCAAAAAGGGCTTTTGCACCTGGAAACCGAGCTTCAAATATTGGAATTGCCCGATTTACAACCTGGTCTACAAGATCATCAGAATCTCACCACTTATCACCATTCTTACCTGGATAGGTTATAACACAAGCTTCTGATTGCAGATTAGAAAAAGTGACCTAAAAATAGATTTTAGAGTTTTTTAATTATAGAGAAAAAGTGAATTAAAATAAAATCTAAAAGTTGTGTGTTTATCTTGTCTTCTTCACGTAATACTAAACGTCCACCAACATTAGTGAGAAATTCACTACATGAACTGACCGCCCTTGGCCTTTTTTACGAAGTGGTTGCTCCCCTTTTGGTATCCATAACCAACATCTTCTGTCATATGCTGAGAAGATACACTCATCGTGTATTACTAAAATTACAATATCTTGAAAAGCTGGTTGAGTTTCTTCTTTCATATTTTTATCAGAAAAAACTATCATATGTGTTTCATATTCAGCCATTCTTTCTAAAAACCTTTCATGATAAGCTACTACATCTGTACGCTTATGCCCATCTATATATATTCTTTTTCTGACTTCTGAATATTCAAACCCAAATACTTCTAACCAATTTCTAGTCGTTCTTATACATATCATTGGTGATGGATCAAAGCAAAGGTTTGGAAATATTTTTTCATTTACATGATTTGCCAGTTCATTTGCATTAACACACCACTTGTTTGATCAGAGAAAAGACTTAATCTATATCAAAATATCTTCATCCCACAAAAAGCTCCAGGTTTTTGAATATTTGCCTTGTTTTGAAATCAGAATTGCACCATTCTGAATATAATTTGTTGCCCATGCACGTATGCAACAGGCATGATAAATACCTTTCCTAGCTGCTTCTGCTACAATAGTACTTGCCTCAACTCTCTTTCGGCTATGTTCCACAAGATGCAAATAAGATAACATTGTATAAAGGCGAGCTTTCTCGATCTCACTATACTCATTACTTTTGAATTCATTTTCTAATTGTTTAATTGTATTGTTTAAGTTTTCAGGAAACATTAAATTGTGGTCACTGACAATCTCAATCTCAAAATCATCACTATCTGAACTAGTTGGTTTATCATTCATACTTGTATTATCACTATCGTTTATACTTGTACATGCATTCACTATCTATTCAAAAAAAAGATAATTTAAATAAATATTTTTCATATTACTGTAAAGTACAAGCCATTTAAAAAATAACTTACTGATGGCCAAAATGATTCTAGCTTGGATGTTCCAACTGCAGCTTCCTATTGTAATTGTCTTTGGCGCTTTTTTGCTCTTACTGAATTTCCAATATACATGAGCAGCCAATGATTAGTCACTTCTGGGACTACTTGCAACAATCTTGTAATAACATTATTCGCTTCTTCAGTTCTCAGAACATTTATTTCTGTATCACTACTCTCAATATCATTAAGTTCATCATCTCAAAGTTATTAAATTCATCACCACTAGTGCTAGGAGTTTTTGAAACTTTTACCTGGCGCTGATTCTTAGATTGTTTTTGTATCATAATCTCTTGTAACTGAGCCTTCCTTTTAGATAATCATACCATTTTTTAATAATGAGGCTGTTGTAAAGCTGATTAATGATTGTTAGGTCCTAAATACCAGCTTTTATACAAGTACTTTATATTTTATCTTAAATTGAGTACATTTTATTTTTATTTTACTTACCTTCTTTCTTTTATCGAACTTTCTCTGATACAATTGCAAAATGAGAAAAAAAGACTTAACCTGTCTTCACAGATTTATCCTCTTTAAATATAACATTTTTATTATATCATTCTTACAAAATAACATACGAATCTATTTGATAAATTGAATACATTAGATTTTTTTACCACAAATCATGTAATAGAGACGATTCTTTCATAGAGGCTTTTAAGGTACCAACATCCTAATTCAAATATTCATACTTTGCTATTTCCAGATAAGTATAGCTGATTCCAATATAACATTATACATTCGACTATATTTTTTTTTCTCTACCTTCTATCCTATTACACGCTAATTCAATATCATTCTTTATTTGATATCAAACGGGTTGGTAAGTGGCTTTTACCCACGCAGACTCCAGCTTTAACTTTTCTTAATTGTTCATTTTACCCATCCAGATAAGTATAGCTGATTTCAATGTAATATCATACATTTGACTATTTTTTTTTTTCCCTACCTACCCCCCTATTACACGCTAATTTAATATCATTCTTTATTTGATTTCAAACTGGTTGGTAAGTGGGCTTTTTACCCACACAGACTCTAGCTTAATCGTTTATTTTATCCACAATCACATACAACATTATCACAACATCAATGATATCTTTTTAATTTCTCTGATTTTATTTATTTAGAATTGTGAAAAAGAAAATTTAAATTTACTAATCAATTTATATAACACTTACTACCGACTATGATTACATATTTAATACATTATTACAAATTCAGTTATAAGATTATGCATAGACTATCATAAACTTTGCGATAAGGTTTTTTGATCTAACTGATATAGGCTTATAACAAACTAACCAATCAT